TGAAAATGGCCCTCGTTTTCAGGCTTTTAGGCTGAAACGTCTCAGGGCCTGTAGGCCCTCGTTTTCAGGCTTTCAGGCTGAAACGACACAGGGCCTGTAGGCCCTTGTTTTCAGGCTTTCAGGCTGAAAACGACACAGGGCCTGTAGGCCCTTGTTTACAGGCTTTCAGGCTGAAAACGACACAGGGCCTGTAGGGCCCTTACTTGTTTGGTCATGCCTTGCAGGCCCGTGTGGATGCGCAGTATGCCACATCCGCATTCATCACGGACATTACTTTCAGAAATGAAAAGCGAAAAAACAAAACAAAACAATATGGACGTGAAACCGGTTAGATATATGATCTAACCTGTGTGTTACATGCTGCGCCTGCAACAGGCTGCACGGGCCCACTTTCAGGCCCGTGACGTTGCCAGGCCAAAAGCCTGAAAACAAGGGCCTACCGGCCCCGTGTCGTTTCAGCATGAAAGCCTGAAAACAATGGCCTACAGGCCCTGTGTCGTTTAGGGCTAAATCAGGTCCTTTCCGGACCTGAGCGTTTTCAGCCTGAAACTGAGGGCCATTTTCAGGCCCTCATCAGTTTGACCCACCCTGAAACTCAGGCAACAAACCAGGGTTTTAGCGCAGGCCATTTCAGGCCTATTTTTCAAGACAACCCCTGGTTGAGATTCAACGCCAGGGTCTGGCACGTTTCGGCATTGGCAAGAGCAGCCTCCTGGATGGGCCAGCACTATAGAGGACTGGCCCGCCCTGCAGGCTGCAGGTAGTTCCTAGGTACTTCCCAGGCACTTCACGTGCAGTTCAGGAGGCAGGAGGTAGTCTTCAGGATTCGGCAGCAGCACTCTGGAGGAGCGCTGCAGGAGTAGTTGTAGCGTTAGCAGTAGTCTTCAGCGCTGGGCGCTAGTAGCGTTAGCAGTAGTCTTCAGCGCTGGGCGCCATAGGAGCTAGAGCAGTACTAGAGAGAGAGATTGGGCGGAGGCCAGGGAGACTTACGTGCAGCGCCATAGCTCCAGCTTCGTCTTTGAGGAACCTGCAGCACAGCGCCAAATTTACAGGTTAGTACCTGGCACGTGAGAGAGAGAGAGAGAGAGAGAGAGAGAGTTCTTCTTCTTCCTCTTCTCAGTCCACCATCTCCCTCTCACGCTCTCGCTATCTGACTTCACTGCATTAGCAGACTACGAGTGAGAGAGGGCTTGGTGACATTTGGATCCAGTCTCGATGTTGGGCTTCAGAAATGTTGACGAGGGATTATTTGGGACTTGTAACGAAGACTTGGTGTTGACGACTTTCCCATATCCCCCCTCCTCTTCGTCTGTTCCCCTCCTCTTCATCTTGCATGATCAGGACCTGGCGCATTCTTCCTGTGTGTAGCGGCAGGCCTCCTTCACACCGTGTGATGAAGATGATGTATGTTTCGTCTGCATTGCAACATTGATTGGGTTCAACATTGGTATTCTAGCATTCTGCTGCGCTATCTTGTACTACGTGAGAGAGGTCAGTGCCAGTGAGGTCAGGACTTGTATCTAAGTCTTCCACTGCGCTATAAAGCACCATTTTTGTATGTATCAGAATGCACACTGCTTGTTGAGATTCTACGTGCATTGCATTGTCCATTCAGTCCTTTTCATCACATTGTGGATCCTTGGTTTTACATGTACATCGCCCAACTGGGCATTTAACAGGTGTCAGAAGTATATTCCCTCTTTGAGAGGGTGTCAGAAGTCCTTGCAGTGCTCCCTGCCTCGCTCGGAGGGAGCCAAAAAGAAAACAAAAGAATAAACAACAAAGAAAACAAAACCTAATACAAGCCATAGGCACGGTTAGATTCGTTCCTGAATGTTCTAGTGTGAGCACACCTCCTTCAGGGCCTTCCCCGACGTCGTTCCTGAATTTGCAGCTTCTTTTTTTTTTTTTTGTGTGTGTGTGTGTGCTGACCCTGCTCCCACCCCCAATCTTTTCAGAATGAGTCGTTTAAACTTGTTTTCAATTAATTTATTTTGCATGGGCGGTGTACTTGTGGTTTAAGATCTTGAGATTGCATGGCGATCCAGGCCTTCTGTGGTCCTACAGTGCCACAGCCAGGATTGACATTCTATCTTAAGATCTTAAGATCGGGTCGTTCGCTCGGTACTGGTTGGCCTAGGGCCCAGATTAGAAGTTTGCAGCCCAACGGAAGTTAGGGCTGCCAGGCCCGGAGGAAAACTGGTTCCAGGCGGTGGGGACTGGACCACTATTGGGCGTAGTGGCTCGACCTTTTTCCTGCACATATTTTTGGCGGTGCATAGTGGGCGGGCACATGCACGTGGTATAGCGGATGAGACAACAAACACTGACATCGATGAGACAACACGCACTCGCATCGACGTCTCCCCCCCACCTTGCAAGCACACGCACGGACACACACACACATGCACGCATGCACGCAAATGCATCGTGGGCAGACTGTCAGGGTTCAACCACCTGATGAGTTCGTGAAATCCAACGAAACAGTCTGGCACAGTCGTGCGTTTCCTGCCCGTTATCGTTCCCCATCGTCGTGTCGCTATCATCATCTTACCTTGGCTTGCAAATTGTGCTCCTTAACTTTCATCCTCATCATCGTCGTCATCGTTGTCATCATGATCATTTTGATCAGATAGTGTCATCATGGTGGGGTGCCTCGGCCATCTCTCTCTCTCTCTCTCTCTCTCTCTCTCTCTCTCTCTCTCTCTCTCTCTCTCTCTCTCTCTCTCTCTCTCTCTCTCTCTCTTTGGTGGGGTGTAGTCTTTTGTTCCTTCTCTTTTTTTCACCGTTCCTGTCGTGTGTGTGTGTGTGTGTGTGTGTGTGTGTGTGTTTTGTGTGTGTGTGTGTGTGTGTGAGAGAGAGAGAGAGAGAGAGATCGGGTTCCATCACCTGTTGTATTTGTTTTTGTGAGTGAAGCCACAACAAGTCATCTACTGTATATATATTTTTCCTGCCGCAATGCCATTGTGATGTTTGCTTTGGGAGAGCAATCTGCTACCAGTTCAAAGCCTCGGAGATTTTAAATGCAAGCATCTTGTTTTTTGTGGGGGATTGGACAGGCTGCCATCTACTTGCCGGATCCGACGTGGGGCAATCATAAGGGCATTTTCCCAGCAAGCGGCCTGTGCATGAAGAAGTATCGGTACTATAACAGCCAATCACGAGGTCTTGACATTGAAGGTAATGTGACCTTGCCATCGATTGTCATCAATCAGTCATGGGGAGGGGAAGGCGTTCAACTGAAGCCATAGTGATAAGAGTAGAGGTCAGAACCACACTACCGTCTTCACCCAGGGAGAATGCCCGGTCATTGTTGCCGTATTTGGACTGAAACTTGCACCAAATAGCTATAATGACCGGATGTTCTATTCGGCTGAAGATTGTAGTAATTCAATAGAGCAACGAACTTGCAAAAACTCTCCGGTCATTATTGCCATACCTGGACTGAAAGCTGCACCAAATACAGCTATAATCATGGGGTGTTCTATTCGGGTGAAGACGGTAGTAATTCAATTTGTGTCTATTCGCCATGCCAGTTAGCAACGTCCCCACCTGTTACGGCCGTTTTTTGACCTCTCCACTATATACTTCTTGGTGAGCGTTTTGGCTGGAGATGAGGCAGTGTACATACTGCTATTTGGACTGTTCTTGGCCAAGATCCTGACTCGCCATGGCAAGTGTCGAGCCATCTGCCCGATTTGCTCCGAAATCTAGCGCTTTTCGGTCGACACTACTCACCACGGGAGGATGTGGAACCAGGCCCTGACAGCTGCAAAACAACCCGAGACAGTAAGCGTGGGTGAACAGAGGATGTGTACCGAGAGTTCAGTGGGTAATCAAGTTCAAAATATAGGAAGCGAGTTTGTGATGGCATGTCAAGTCATGAACTTGTTTCCTTGCTGCTGTAATGACCCGCCATAACACGGACTGAGAACACTGCTGATTTCTGAATTCTGCCGATGGAATGGATGCCTTGCCTGAGATTCCCACACTTTCCTTAGTTTTCGGAGTCTGTGTGTGTGCGTGCTTGATGACCTGGGTGCCTGTCTGAGTGCTTGTCGGCATGCGTGTGTGTGTGTGACCTGCAAGAGTACTTGCTTGTTTGGGAGCCCCGTACGGCCGTTACTTACCTGTGGCCGTGACATTGAGGGTTGCAGCAGGGAAAACACTCAAGTGGCAGAGCAAGAGGCCCACGGCAGAGCAGTGGGAAAAGGCTGGTACCGCACCCAGTAGAAGTAGATGTGCCTCGTACTCGAGGCCGAGCAGAAGAAGACAAAGTTGGCATTTTTAGAGGCCCAGTAGCGGTAGGCTAGGTCTAGGCAGGTACCAGTCCATCCAGTCTGAGTCTAGGGCCTGTACGGGCAATGCCAGAGTCTGCAATGATGTTTCCCTCCGAAAGGGAGGCGGTACCGGTTGCTTGGGAGGCCAAGCGGCCTGGAAGTCACCGCCCAGGAGGCAAGTAGGCCACTATATCTGGAGGCTGAGCGAAGAGCCCAGCTTCAGTCTTCAGTGTGCATGTTTGGCGACAGTGCTGGAGCGCTGGCTGGAGGAGCGCTGGCTACTACAGTGCTGCTGGGAGGAAGAGCCCGGGAGCTTCTACCTCGGCTATGATGGAGCTCTACCGGTAGGAGGAGGGAGACGAGGACCAAGGAGGAAAGTGGCGAGGTACCTACCTGGCTATGGTGGACACCATCTTCATCACCTTGATAGGCACAGCATCTGGAAGGCCCCAGTTGGGGTAGTGTCATCAAGGAAGCTCGGGGCAGAGTCAGGCGTGGCGGCTTAATGAGCAGCGGCTTAGCTGCTTTGCGTTGTCCTTTGCACAGGAGGGCGGCGACATAGCTGCTTTGGGTTGTCCTTTGCATAGGAGGGCAGAGCCCTCAGTAGTCCGCCATAGCCTCGGCCTACGTGAAGAGGAAGAGGAAGGGTGGCCATGGCTATGGTGGAGCTCATGTTGTGCCTGCAGTAGAAGAGGGATTCAGACATTGATTCTGGTTCAGCCATTCAACATTATTATTGGTATTTCTTGTTTGAATAAGAGGGGAGAACACAAGGAGGAGGAGAGTGGTTGGCGAAGAAGAGCATTGTCATTGGTCTATGCTGGAGTACATCTTCTTTCTTTCTTCTTATTCTTCTTCTTCGTTCTCTCTCTCTCCTCTCAAATTCATTCATTTCTTTTTGCAATTGGATGGCATTGTACTTTCTGATGATTGTGTACTTTGAAATTGGCCAGGATCGTAACATTGGTATCAGAGCGGATACCACTTGCTGGCAAGAGTTGACTTTGACGCCATAGCCCTAACCTAAGTGGTAAGCGCTAACCACTTAGGGTTAGGGTAGGAAGTTGGGGTTAAGTGGGGCAGCGTTGTGAATGGGAAGCTGCTCCCACCTGGCAGGGTCGTGCAGGGTCGACGTTAGACCTGGCCAGGTTGCTGGAGTGCATGTCTGTGGTGGCGAGACACGAGGTGGGACTTCGTGATGCAATTGGAGAGAGGCGACAATGAAGGGTACAACTGGAATCTGGACTTTAGGGAAGGCGAGGAGCGACTTCAGGGCTCCCCTCAAGTTAGGCGAGCTTGAGGGTGGCAGCCATATCTGCACCTACGGACTGCAAGTTGCTACTTTGATCTTCAACATCGACGGGGGATTCGGTGGTGTACTTTGGGGTAGATGTTGGCCCTCCTAAATGATAGGACTAGTGTAGAGGTCTACCCCTCCTAAATGATAGGACTAGTGTAGAGGATGCTAATTGGGTCAGGAGGACTATGTGAGAAGGGGGTGAGTTTCATTTCATCTCAAGAGCCCGGTCACTCAGGTAAGTGCCATGTGGCAAGGGTGCCCATCTGTGTGTGCATGGAATTGATTGCTTGTTGGGGTATTTTGGGTTCTTCTTCCATCCTGCGTAGTGAATGGATGGAGTATCTTGTGTGCCATGCTATATCTTTCTACAGTGCTTTGTTTATTTCATTCCGAACGGCTGTAGTTTGTAGGTTCTTTATGGAGCTAAAATTAGTTTTTCAATACGGTAGGGGCAGAGAGGTCTTTGTGGAACTCTTGTTGGTTGGGACCTAGTTTTGATTCCACAAGGACCATTTGGGACTAAGAGGGACCCGACCCAAACAAGAAGGGCCCCTCAGGCCCAAATCTGTTGATGTCAGTTACCGTGCTCTTATCTGATTGGGACTCGGAGTTCATGCTTTCGGACCAGGACACTCGCTGTTGAGGGGATCTCGGCTGAGATGTTTCACGAACTTTACCGCACGTTCCGCTGCCTGACTTGCACCTTGGACAACACTCACTTGCATTGTGTAGTACACTTTGAATTTGATTTGCTGTGTCTTTACGGAGCTGAGTCCGGGTAGGCTTGAGAGGACCTCATTCGTAGTCGGACCAGATTGTGTTGCGGAACCAAATTTTTTTTTTTTTTTTTTTTTTTTTTTTTTTTTGACCTCTTGAGTCCAAATTAATTGCTGCCTCGGCTACGAGTTCTACCTTCTCTTCTAAATTGCTTTCGAGCTGTTTCTTCCATTGGGTTCGTTGAATGCCTGCTTCTACGAGGTCGCAATCGCAAACAAAAGAGAGAAGAGAGAAGTTTTTCAGTGTTGCTCTTGAGGGGGGGAGGAGAGGGAAGAGGAGTGTTCGTCCCAGAAGTGTGAGGTAGTACGGACCACTCTTGATAGACTTATTGACACCCTCATCCTCCATCATGGCGTCTGCAGCGGAATGAAAGCTGCAAATGGACATTTCCCCTGAGGCAGGAAAAGCGGAGTACCGATTTTTTTATGAAAAAGCGTTGAAGAGGGAAAAGGAAGAGGAGGAGGAGGAAAAGGGAGACAAAGTAAAGGCTCATGAAGTCGTCCTTAGTATCGTGCCCACCTTAATTGATGCTGAGGTGGAAGAGAAGGTTGTCCCACTTCTCAGGGATTTAGTAGATGTTCGGGCTGTTGAAGACTATACTGGCCAACTCGCAAAGGTGTTTGATGAACTCAAGAAGTTGCGAGGATATGGCCTTGATGGTGCAACAACACAGTGACAAGCTGTAACAGTTTGCTAACATGCAGCTGGCCCAAAGTGTCCTTCCGTCTGCGTACCCTGCTTTTAATGTTGTGTGTCAGTCCGTTCTTTCCCCTGTAACTGTATCTTCTCTTTTTCTTCGAGTGTGGTCAACACCCTATCTGGACCTGCAGCAAGTCCAGACTCCGGTGTTGTTGTTGCTGCTAGTGCAGTGGCAGGTGGCAGTGCAGGGCATTTTGGAATTATTGTAGCCCCGAATTCGGAATTTTTGAATTGTTGTAGCCCCGAATTCATACCCAACAATCGTCAGTCGGAACTGCAGTTTTCCTTATGTGGACACAAATTCCGTCTAAATATGACGGAAAGGACGACATTGCTTTGATTAACTCTATCAGATCCTACTTTGATGTGCTGAGGACACCCTTGGTTACTCGGTCGTCGGTCCTAAGGACCAATGTGGAACCCATCGTAAGAGGCTTCTCTATATAGTCGGACTCGTGGGCCGACGAAGAGCAAGATGCCTCGTAGTCTTGCTCTTGATCATCACCAAGTGAAGGGTCCTCTGGGAAGGCCTCGTCAACCTCTAAGTTGATCAGGCCCTCCAAAATGGTTGCTGCCCGAAAACCGTTTGCGGTTGGTGGTCTTTTTGGCACCCGATCCACCCGGGAGGTCTTGTGCCTCGAGCTTGACTAAATCCCGCATGAGGGGAAGCCAATCTGTATATGTCGCGAGTTCGATCCCCAGGCGATGTGTTAAAATAGAGAAAATCGTACCTTTAATCACATCCAAGCAGCGCAGTCATCTCCAAATCAGGAGTAGCAAAGAGTTTACTAACGTACTGTTGCAGACTATGCATGGTGTCTGCCCACTTGCTGTGCTTGAGCTACAGTCAGGCTATAAAGGAAGACTTGAACAAATGGTTGAAGGTTACGCCAATAGCCACATTCAAGGATCTTGTGATTAAGCAATATGTTGATCCACATGTTGCTGCTAAAGCTAGGCTCAAGCTTGCCAAGCTCAAGCAAAACAAGTGGACAAGCACCATGCATAATTTGCAACAGTACGTTAGTAAACTCTTTGCTACTCTTGATTTTGGGATGTTTGTACAGTCTTGCTTGGATGTGATTAAAGGTACGGTTCTCTCTACTTCAACACATGGCTTGGGG